AACTTATTCCAGAGTGAAGCGTAGAAACCTATCCTATTTAGGAGGGCTATGCCCACCGTCAGCTCCTCACAGCTTAGCCAGTCAATATTTTACCCTTTTAAAGAATATATCCTGCCAGTTGCTGGAACAAGAATTTTCAAAGCCGTCAGACCATATAAATATCATTGTAAGTATAGCAAAAAGGAGAATTTAGTGCCAGTGAAAAGAGTCATCCTGGAAGCTCCGGAGTCTGAGGTCCTCTGTTGCTTATTTTACGTTAACACCTAAGATCCCAGCAGAAATCAGGACTCCTTGTAGAAAGTGTTTTACATAGAGATAGTGAGAGAAACAGGGTAAAGGGTAGAATGGGGAAATGGAGGCACAGAGCTGTGAAATGATTGGTCCTCCACCACACAAGGATCAGTAGCAAAGCCAGGAATAAAGCCCAGATCTCCTGACTCCTAGCCCCGTACCCTTTCCATTAGGTAACACTACCTTGTCTTAGGAGTAATAGAACAAACAGAACTTCATTAGCAGACCACTCTGGACTGGAATAAATATCTTAGGGGTGAGAGGAGCCGCTTGCCTCTATTGTCAGTAAATGCAAATGCCGCGGGGGATATTTAAATCCCCCACAGATTTGCAATTGCGACCCGTCTCAGTAGCATCCCTTTTCCGGAAAGGGGTGCCAATGTAGACGTAGCCCATATGTCTCCAGCCTCAGTATTGAAACGTCCACCAACGTAAGTGATATTTATCGTCCCCTCCGTATAGGGTCTTATGATACTGAAACTCATCCACTGTGACAGGTCACCTAGTATTCCTCAACTTGGAGAGCTTATCTAAAGTATGATTCTATAGTAGGGCTGTCAAGGGATTTACAAAATTAATCGCGATTAATCGTGCTGTTAAATAAGAATACACCCCAACCTGCACCACCCCAATGCCCTCACCCATCCCCCAGAGCCAGCCACCTGCAGTCCCCCTGCTCTAATCTAGTGCCTGTCCTTCCCCAGCCCCGGCCACCCCCCCTACCCACCCTGCCCACCCTCAGAACCAGCCCCCCTGCTCTGAACCACCCCCAGCTCCCCTGCTCTAACCCAATACCTCACCCCTCCCACAGAACCGGGGACATAACCTAGGACACCCAGAAGCCGCTGCTGCTGTTAAATGACTGACTGCCAGAGCCCTGCATAGCACATTTCAGAGCCCCCCAGTGGTATGCTCTGGAAGGCGTCAAACCCCTCCCCCGACATCAGACCTGCCCTGGGTCTCACCGGAGCCGCCACAGCCACGCGCTTTTCCCTGCAGGTGCTGGGGCATGTGCGCAGAGCAGCCATTAGTGGTCTGGGTATTCGATTCCGAACGTTGCCTTTGACGGGCACATTCCGCCGCCCCCTCTCCGATTCCCTTTGCAGGGCAAAATCCTGGTCATTTTTTGCCATTTAAAAAAGCCAGCCAGATGGAGATTTAACTAGTGAAAACAAGGACATGTCCAGGAAAAACCGGACATATGGTAACCCATTAATGCGTGTTAATTTTTTTAATGTGTTAATTCCTCCCTGCATTAAACGCATGTAAATGCCTGCGATAATTGACAGCCCTAAACTATAGCTCAGTAGTCTGCCAAATAGTGTGTGCTGCCCCACACTAAAAGTTCCATACTGCACTTACATGTGCTGCTTTGACATCAGAGCAAGCTTCAGAACTCATAGGGTATGGCAGCTGAGTACACCCAGGCAGTTAATGTACAGCAAGCGAAAGCATCCCAGCTTGCCAGGCATTAAGAGTCCAGGTAGACAAGTCCTAAAACATTTATAATCTAACTTGTACAGCTGGTCCAAAAAATCAGAGCAATCGTTTTCTGCTGAAAAAATGAAGTTTCACTGAAATTGAAATGTTTTGCAGGCGCGTCCATTTTTATTAAGTTTTAGGAGGGCATGAGAGTCAAATTGTTTTGTTTCATGCTGTCAGAACATTTAAGAGGTCCAAATGCTTAGTTTTCACTTTAATATGTTTAAATATTGCCCGTGGATCTATATAGTTAAAACCACTTTGTTCCCAGTTTTTTTTAAAAAAATGAATTTTCATTCTGTGGGAAGCCACAAAATATCAGTGTTTCATTCAGATTCATAACAAAGATTTCAGAACAACCCATGGAGTGGAAATTCTTGTTCCTTGACCCACGCATCCTACTAATTTGAGGAAGGGCCTATCGAAGTGGGCCCATGCTTTCCAAAAACTATAACTGCATCCTGCTCCAAAGAGCTTGCAGGCTAAAGAGGATAAAATTGACTAGCACGTTGGGGATTCTATAGACATTGTTGGAAGCATCTGGTATAATGGTAATAACCGTTAATTTCTGACAGTATCTGTTAGCTCAAGAGTTTATGTACCGCCATTGTCACATTAAAGCAGAGCACACATTTTCTGTATGTGATTAATTATTAATTTCTAGGTTTTGTTTTATAACGAGCTCCGTGTGGCTTATCACAGGCAGTAATGTACCTGCACATTTTTAGCAGCCTGCGAAGGACTCATTATAATCCAGTGACTGTCACACATGTCCGGGCAAACTGCAATCTTGCTCCACTCGCTAGTGAAGGATTTCCAAATTCTCCTCTCTTAACCCCAGAATAAAATCTCATTTCCTGTTCAATAAGCCATGCCAGAACAGAACGTGAACTCTGCATTTGAGAAAGCACTGTGTTCTTTTAGTAGAGAATGCCAGGTTTTCTAAACAAAGTCACCTTATTATTGAAATAGGCACTGCTGGGTTTTAAGTTAATCCAGCTTTACTTCTCACCTCATTATTTGGTTATATTAATTACAGAAGCTTTAGCATCTTCAGGAAGAACAAACAAACAAAAACCCCACTTCCTGTCTACAAGGCAAGGTCCACCCGTAAGAGACATAAGTCCAGTTAACTTAATTACGTAGCTGGAGTCGAAGTATCTTCAAGAGTGTTTTGGCGCCGTCCACGCAGACAGAGGTCAATGGAAGCACATGTTCATGGCGACTTCACTTACGCCTTGTGAGGAACAGGACTACCGGTGCTTCTTGGAATGACCTCTTAGTTCGAATTAAAGAGTCCTCAGTAGACCCACTAATTCAAACCCTGGAAGATTGACTGCGGCAGCTTCCATCTTCTCTGTAGTGTTGACAAACCCCAAGTGATCTGCTTCAAACATAGTAAAGTCCCAGGGCAATTTAACCAATCGATGAAAACAAGTTTGCAAAATCAGATCAAACTGTGCTTTCATTTGGCTCATAGAAATCCAAACTGTGGTTTCTAGCAAGGAGAACTAGGAACCAGGAGGACTGATGCTTTGGGAGGTGGAGGGATAAAACAGGGGCAGGAAAAATCTCTCCAATGCTTGGACAGAGGCTGCTGTGTTACGGGTGGAGGGTGACAGTGACAGAGGGAGAATCCACCAGACTTATCCTCTTGCCCTCAAGTAATGTCAAAGTTAACACCACACATTTTACTGTGCCTGCTCCGGAACAATTACGTGGGCTTACTGAAAGAACCTTGAGAGGTCATCGAGTCCAGTCCCCTGCCCTCATGGCAGAACCAAATACTGTCTAGACCATCCCTGATAGACATTTATCTAACCTGCTCTTAAATATCTCCACAGATGAAGATTCCACAATCTCCCTGGGCAATTTATTCCAGTGTTTGACCACCCTGACAGTTAGGAACTTTTTCCTAATGTCCAACCTAAACCGCCCTTGCTGCAGTTTAAGCCCATTGCTTCTTGTTCTATCCTCAGAGGCCAAGATGAACAAATTTTCTCCCTCCTCCTAATGACACCCTTTTAGATACCTGAAAACTGCTATCATGTCCCCCCTCAATCTTCTCTTTTCTAAACTAAACAAACATAATTCCTTCAGCCTTCCCTCATAGATCATGTTCTCTAGAGCTTTAATCATTCTTGTTGCTCTTCTCTGGACCCTCTCCAATTTCTCCATATCTTTCTTGAAATGCAGTGCCCAGAATTGGACACAATACTCCAATTGAGGCCTAACCAGCGCAGAGTAGAGCAGAAGAATGACTTCTCATGTCTTGCTCACAACACACCTGTTAATGCATCCCAGTAACAAGCAGTTACAGTAGTTATGTCTTCATCTTTATAGCACTCCCTATGGGCGTGTTAGTACTTTGTCAGAGAGAAGAGTGCCACCTACCGAGTCAAGAATTTCCCACTTCCTGTTCCTGTTGCATCCTAGGAGAGTTCCCTTGCCTGTCTAAAGGAGGGCTGTTTTGTATGCCATAGCAGTGAGAGGTGTGTATCACATTAGGAGGAAAATTCACTCCAGGTGCTCTTTGGAGGGCTTGAATAGCATATAGCTTGAAGCTAGAACTCTGTGGATTACACAATGGGATAAATTTCTCCATATCATCTCCATAATTGAAAATAATTGAAAATGGAAATGCTCTAAGGCAGAGGTTGTTTTAAAATCAACTGGAATTTTCCAGTCAGACCACTGCAGGTAGAGAGTTGGGATATATCCCTCCTTCAGGGTGTGTCTACATAGCAAAGTTATGCTGGAATAACAGCCATTATTCTGGAATAACTATGCGCGCATCTACACAGCAATTCCGTTATTTCAAAATAATTTTGAAATAACAGATGGCTTATTCTGACTTCTGTAAACTGCATTCTATGAAGTATAATGCCGATTCTGAAATAGCTATTTTGAAATAAAGTGTGTGTAGATGCTCCACTTCTGCTATTTTGAAATGGTCCCTCACTGGGGCCATTTTAAGTTATTCCTCCTGGGGCTCTAAATCAAGATATCACATCTACATTAGGGAAGCCTGCCTCAAACTAATAATGAGGCTTCCCTGCATTGTAGACCTGCTATTTCAAAATAAGCTATTCCGGGATAACTATTTTGGAATAACTGTGCAGTGTAGACATACCCTTACTGCCCTGGCAAAGGGAGCCATCCCATTGCTGAGTAATTTAGAATGCATTGAGAGAGAGAGAGAGAGAGAGATGTGAAATAATACTTACAAAATATAACCGTTCGATATATATTAATGGACTGATGTTGTCGTCTTAATCACCGACTTATCACAAATTAACTGTTAAAATATGGGAAAAGTAATAAAGGAAACATTATAAAAGCATAATGTCATGCCATGTAAAAATGTCTGAATTAGAAGTAGAATACTTTTTTACAGCTTTCCCCGGGATTAATGTGCTACTCAGAATTTTATTACGGCCTTGTAATAGGCATCCACATGCTCTATGTCGTAGGTAATCTTTAATATTGATAATGTGTAATTGTATTTGCTGTAAAATGATGGAGCAAGATCGCTTGGCATATAGTGTCTGAACAGAGTGCCCCTTCTGATGTCTTTTTATGGTGGAACGCTTACCTTAATGCATGTCAATATATTTTAGAGCTTCCCTAGAGGGTGTCATATGCAATATTGGACAGAAGTAACAGTCTCAATGTGACAGGAGAGATAAGAGACGGGGCTAAGGGAACTTGTTTGGATACAAGACAGTTGCACCTCTCTAGCCTTTCACTCTGGTCCAGCAACATCCATGGTCCAGCATGATTATAGTTAGCCAGATGTCCACTTATCATGGGTGTGGCCAAATTTCCCATGGTCCCATAAAGTTTGTTTACAGCCACCTGTCCTGGCTCTTAGTATTCTGTGCTATTATTTAGCTCTAATTTACCCCTAACTGTCTTCTCAGAGCCTAGTAAGCAGTGGAAGTGTTGGTCATGCTGCTAGACAATATTGACCTCCCATCGTTCGGCAAGTTTTCTGATGAATCACCAGTCAGGTCTCTATGGTTCCAGACTAGACAGATTCAACCTGTAATTCTTCCCCACTCCTCCTCTTGGAATTTTGAATCAAGCGCGAAGTATGGCAAATTTGGTTTTAGCACATACATACATCCTTGGCTTCCTAATAGCGTTTTCTGCTTGCTCTTTGTAGCACAGAAAACATTACTGTTCTGTGTTCATAAAGGGAAACATTTGTGAGCATCTACGATCCTGTTCGTTCAGTAGAAAAATCTCATTGTTACAGATAGTTTGGCCAGCTCACCACTTCTAGGTGCAGAAAACTTCCCCGCATTGCTGCACCAAGACTCAGTAGTCTAACCTCTTTAATGGGTGATCATTGTCTTCTTTAACTAACCAAGACTACTGGCTTTAATAACATTCCTTTCTCTTGTGCATCAGGAAAGGTAAATGATTCTCATGTGTCTTTGAAGGCTCTCTAAGGTCTAACAGTCTCTGAAGTGTTCAGGCATTATTGCAGTCAAGCAGCACAAGGAAAACCATCTGTTCTATTTCATCAGTTTTCCCATATGTCAAATAAATTTCATTATCAGAAACTCCCCACAGACTAGAATCCACAAACTCAAATCAACACCAGACCCTGCCATAGAATCATAGAACAGTAGAACTGGAAGGGACCTCAAAAGATCATCAAGTCCAGTCCCCTGCCCTCATGGCAGAACCAAGAACCATCTAGATCATCCCTGATAAATGTCTATCTAAACTGCTTTTCAATATTTCCAATGATGGAGATTCCACAACCTCCCTAGGCAATTTATTCGTGTTTAACCACCCTGACAGTTAGGAAGTGTTTCTTAATGTCCAACCTAAACCTCTCTTGCTGCAATTTAAGCCCATTACTTCTTGTCCTATCATCAGAAGACAAGGAGAACAATTTTTCTCCTGCCTCCTTGTAACAAGTTTTAGGTACTTGAAAGCCGCTATCATGTCCTCTCTCAATCTTCTCTTTTCCAAACTAAACAAATCCAATTCTTTCAGTCTTCCCTCATAGCTCATGTTTTCTAGATCTTAAATCATTTATGCTCTTCTCTGGACTTTCTCCACTTTCTCAACATCTTTCTCAAAACATGGTGCCCAGAACTGGACACAGGACTCCAAATGAGACCTAATCAGCCCAGAGTAGAGCCATAACAATGGATGCAAAACTTTAAATTTCTCCACTGCTACCATGATCAATAACACCCACAACACACCTTTCAAGATCCGTGAGTCCTACACACAACCTGTGGCGTGCCTCACCCCATGCCCTAACTGCCCCAATTGCAACTAGAGGCTGAAACTAGACAATTGTTACATTCCCAGATGAACTCACACAGAAAAATAATACAAGCCAAAACCACCCTGTGGCAGAGTCCATGCTCAGACCCTTTGGTCTGGGAAACCTTCTTGTTCACAAATCCACCAGACACACGTCTGGTACAGTCACCCATGCTTTTATTGTTAGTTCCCACCACTTTCTATTTACAAGGCTTACAGAGAACTCAGCCAGCTCCTCCATCTGCCTTGGAGCACACCCTGGCTTCTTGCTCCTCCTTGCCCCTTCCTCCTGTCTCCCTTCCTCTGCCTTATATACACCTGTCATGGCTCCTTCCCCACTCTGGCATGATAAATGCAGAAGTGGGGGCCAGCCAGCCTTATCTACTAGGCTTTGGTATAAAACTTCCCCCAAGATCTTAAAAACCTAGATCTTGGGAATAAAACTTCCGCTGCCACCAACCAAATGTTGCTGAAGAAACCAGGGGAAAGATCATTTGGGAAATCTTACCCCTAAAATAAAAATCAGGGCACACAATTAACCACTGCCAGGTTAATAAAAAGAAAAGAAAGAACTTTTATTATTACAACAATATTCCTGTTGCAAGCATAATGACTAGATAGGAAGGTAACAAAATATACTCATGGAGCAATTCCATGGGCCTAGAACTTAGTTACAAAGAAAAGCCAAAACATCTTTTAAGCAGTGCCAGACATCAGATCCCATACCCAACCCCTAAAACAATAAAGCCTAACGAAACTACCTAAACCTTATCCTACTTACAGAAAATGAAGAATGGTGTCTTGGAGAGAGAGAGACATGCTTGTCCCTCTCTGTAGCTGCAGAGGATTCTCTCAGAGAGACAAAAGGAGAAAGGAAAAAACCCAAATTCCTTTGTCCCAGGTTGAAAGTCCCACCTACATTCCTACTGGTCACTCCACCTGGCTAGGTGTAGTTAACTCCTTAATCCCCAGGCTGCTGGCTAACCCTCATAATCATGACAACACCCCAGTGAGGCCCACAGCTGTTTCTAATAGCCCTTCAGGCCTGGGCTTTCTCAGCTGTGGCCATCAGCCTCTTCAGCCAGACTAGCCATCTGTCACACACCCTCTCGCCTGTGAGCGGTCAATTTCTGACTGCTGACCTTCCAGTCCTCATCCTCAAAGCAATTCTTCACAATACCTTCAAAAGATGAGCTTAAATTCATAACTATTTTACACAGTAACATCATGGTCTTCAGAAAGCCATTGGATTTATGGCTGACTAGAAAATTTACCTGGTGTTGCTCAGGTCCTTAACTCAATTGATGTTGATGTTTTGGAAAATAAAATGGAAATGTGCATGTTTCATTTGAATCATTTCTCTGGGGTGGGGCTGGGGATGAGGAATCCAGGGTGCAGGCTGCCCTCAGGGGAGGGGACAACCCCAGGCCTTTCTCACAGCAGTTTGGGGGGGAGGCAGGTAAGAAGCACCTCTCCATGGCCACTGCAGCTCCTGTGGGCACAGTCAGTGAGGACTACTCCAGGTTTGTCTGCCCCCAGCGCTCCCTAGCCAGAGTGAGGCATGCAGCAAACTATGTGTTTTCCCCTCGCTTCCTGGCAAAGGGGAACAGCCAGCAGTTTTCCCCTAGGAATTGGGTGGTTCCCTTCCCTCTCTAATGGGTGCCTTGTGGGATGGAAAGGTCCATCTGGGGCAGTCCCAGATGGGGTGGGAGCTTCCCCAGCCATTCCCTCTCACCTGTCGGGTGATTCTGTCTCCTTTCTATATGGTTTTATGAGATTCAATCCCATTCCAGGAACATCCCATTTTCCTGGCACAACCAAACCCTGACCTTGTTTTAAATAAGAGGAAGCTGTATCCTGAATTTGGTCATCCTAACTCTTACCGTTTAGGAGGAATTCTCGAACAGACAGACAAACATACAGTCTCTCCAATATATAGTAGATTACAATTATCTGTAAAGTAGTAACCCCACCCCACCTTTTCTGACTGCAGGAGCATTAATGGACCACTTCACTTTGAATGCTGTCTTACAACAAGTTAACGCCTTATGGGTAACCCTCTGTTGTATGTTGTATTTAGTTGAGACACTCTGAGTACTTTTCTGAGTCTTGGAGAAGAGCTCTGTATAGCTGGAAGACTGGTTTGATTTATCAGCTTAGCTAACAGGGGAGTTTGGCGCAGGGGTTTGGCGGGGGAGTTACAGTTGGTGAGCTACACTTGGCATCCTTTAGAACTTCTTCAAACTAAACTAAATCCAAACCTACCAGCTTTAAAAAAAATTATTAAGGAACAACTGTAGTCCACCAGCTGAAAGAGAATGCAGGCAGAAGCCCAGCAGCAGAGTGGGGGCTATCCAGAGAAATGCAGCATTCATATGGAGGAAGGCATGGGGGTATTACTTCCACTGTCGCTCTCACACATGCATTTCTAGCTCATTCCTTGCAACGATCATCTTGAAAATATAACTCAGTGGTGACTGGGATGGAAAGAAATGAGCCACCAGACTCCACGTCTTAGGCAGAAGGCACATGGGGATGAAATTGTATATCCTGGATATACGTTCACTGTCTGCTTCAACTGGCTCTGTTTCTGTTCGGCTATCTGCTGAAATCCTGTGCTCTTTGCTGCCCCTCTAGGAAAGGAGAGGAAATGAGTGGGAAACACTCCATGTTGGGTTTGCACGATGACCAGCCCATCCCCCATTGCATGAAGAGGAGGATGGATCCCAGCCGCTTCTGAACAGAGAAGGAATCCTGCCCCTCTCTCCCTCCCCCACCACTGCAGTATGAATGTCCCTGTTAGCCCAACCTGGACTGGGTTGGAGCCGGGAGTTCCTCCTCTCCACTATCCAAAAGCAACCCATTCCTGCAGCCATGCCGCATGCTAGCTGGGGAGGCTGCCCTCAGTGAGAGAGAGAGCTATCCCGCTTAAATGAGAGAGAGGCTCCATAGCCCTACCCACCGTGGAAAGGAGGAGGAAATGCTCTCGGCTTGGACTGG